CCAATATTCTTATATGATATGCTGAACCTATCATTGCGATCACTTGATACACAAGCAATGATGACATTAGGATTTTTCATCCGTGATCTTCATCGACAATTGCAGCAATTGTACGAAAACCAACGGAGTACTTTTGTAAATCGTTTTATCGTATATCGTGGTCAGGGTCTAAGCAACGAGAATATTCAGCATTTACTCGCTACAAAAGGTGGCTTGCTTGCGTTTAACAACTTTTTATCAACAAGCACAAAACAGCAGGTTGCTATGAGATTCGTGGAACGTGCCATGCAGAAAAATAAAGACATCGTGGGTGTTCTTTTCATCATGACAATTGATCTAAATAAAATATCGACGACGACTACTCCATTTGCACTTATCGAAGAATACAGTGCTATTAAAACCGAAAAAGAAATTCTCTTTTCAATGCATACTATTTTTCATGTCGATGATATCAAACAATCAGTTAGCAATAGTCGTCTGTGGGAAGTTCAATTGAGTCTCACCGGCGACAATGATCCACAATTGGCTGCTCTTACCCGATTCATACAAAATGATCTCCGTGGATCCACCGGATGGCATCGACTGGGAGATTTGATGATCGAAGTGGGCCACTACAATCAAGCTGAAGAAGTCTACAATGGATTACTCAAAAACGTTTCCAGCGCCAGTGATAGAGCATTTATTTATCATCAGCTTGGAATCTTGAAATCACGACAAGGAAAATATAACGAAGCGGTCTCGTTTTACGAAAAGTCTCTCGAAATCGAGAGAAAAACTCTTTCGGAAGATCATTCTTCCTTGGCCCCTACCTATATTAGTATTGGTCTTGCGTATAACAACATGGGTGACTACTCGAAAGCACTTGAATTTTACGAAAAAGCACTTAAAATTAGAGAAAAAGCTCTGCTTTCGAATCATCCAGATTGGGCTATTTCCTATAACAACATCGGTGGAGTGTATAACAACATGGGTGAAGTGTATTACAACATGGGTGACTACTCGAAAGCACTTGAATTTTTCGAAAAATCACATAAAATCTGCGAAAAAGCTCTGCCTTCGAATCATCCCTCATTGGCTAATTCCTACAATAACATCGGTCTAGTGTATAAGAACATGGGTGACTACTCGAAAGCACTTGAATTTTACGAAAAAGCACATCAAATCTTCGAAAAAGCTCTGCCTCCGAATCATCCCTCATTGGCTACTTCCTGCAACAACATCGGTGAAGTGTATTACAACATGGGTGACTACTCGAAAGCACTTGAATTTTTCGAAAAATCACATCAAATCTGCGAAAAAGCTCTGCCTTCGAATCATCCCTCATTGGCTAATTCCTACAACAACATCGGTCTAGTGTATAAGAACATGGGTGACTACTCGAAAGCACTTGAATTTTTCGAAAAAGCACATCAAATCTACGAAAAAGCTCTGCCTCCGAATCATCCCTCATTGGCTACTTCCTACAACAACATCGGTGGAGTGTATGACAACATGGGTGACTACTCGAAAGCACTTGAATTTTACGGAAAATCACTTAAAATTAGAGAAAAAGCTCTGTCTCCGAATCATCCCTTTTTGGCTACTTCCTACAACAACATCGGTGCAGTGTATAAGAACATGGGTGACTACTCGAAAGCACTTGAATTTTACGAAAAAGCACTGAAAATTAGAGAAAAAGCTCTGCCTCCGAATCATCCCAATTTGGCTAATTCCTACAACAACATCGGTGAAGTGTATGACAACATGGGTGACTACTCGAAAGCACTTGAGTTTTTCGAAAAATCACATAAAATCCTTGAAAAAGTTCTGCCTCCGAATCATCTCGATTTGGCTTACTTCTACAACAACATCGGTGTAGTGTATAAGAACATAGGTGACTACTCGAAAGCACTTGAATTTTTCGAAAAAGCACATCAAATCTACGAAAAAGCTCTGCCTCCGAATCATCCCTCATTGGCTACTTCCTACAACAACATCGGTGGAGTGTATAACAACATGGGTGACTACTCGAAAGCACTTGAATTTTTCGAAAAATCACATAAAATCTACGAAAAAGCTCTGCCTCCGAATCATCCCTCATTGGCTAATTCCTACAACAACATCGGTGCGGCGTATTTCGGCAAAGGAGACTACTCAAAAGCATTCTCATTCTTAGAAAAGGCACTTTCTATCTGGCAAAAATCACTTCCACCTAACCATCCTAATATTAAAACAGTCACAAACTCAATTGACTATGTAAAAAAGAAAATGTAACTGTAATTTTTTCTTTCCACTTCCTCAATAAATTTATTCACATTGCTATTCATTTCGATTTTTCTCGGCTCATTTTGGCTTACCCGCGCGCGCGACAAGGAACAGATCCCTTGTCAATGCCATAAGTATCACAGGCGGACTACGCCGAACTGGTAGGGCAATGGCCAAAGGTATGCCGTATTAACACGGTAGGGACCAACGACTCATAGAGGCCTTCTCTAGTATTACACTGCTTCGCTGTGGCAAAGTTCCTGTCCCTATTGAATCAGACATCGTTGCTATCTGACCCACATTGATAACTCAACTGAACTCATCTCAGATAAACTCATACTCATAATAACTGACAGTATTTATTTTTTCTCGAAATAAGTTATCTCAACTCAACTCAGCATGTAAAAAAAAAATTTTTTCCTACCTCTCAATATTGTATTGTATCGTAGCTCATCTAAAAACAAAGTATTGTTAAATATAAAAACAAATAATTTACCTTATTAAAATATAATCATATCATTATCACTGTAAATAATATAATAATAATAATAAATAATGTACCCGGGTATATAATTACATTGTAATGCATTACATTGAGAAAACGCGAATGTACTGTTTTGTGATGATACATCCATGTTTTTATATACCCTATGGTTAATTGTTTAATATTCAACGTTTGAATTAATTTTTCATCAATCATTTCACACACTTGAATTGATGTTCCACGTGTGTTTTAATTGATTTGATGATCAATTTTTATGTAATGATATGTGTATGCTTTTTTAATTTTTTTCTTATTTAACGGACATCAATATCATGTCGTCGTCGTCGAAAAAAAATTCATCTTATATATATATATGTAGAGTGTGAGTTGAAGAAAATATTAAGATTCACACCCACACCCTAATATTCATATAATAACTATTCGACAACCGATAATTTATTCATTTGGATTATGTCATATATAAATCCATAGAAAATACTGCAATACCAGAATAAAATAAACACAAAAAAACACGAATTAGATCTACTCTGTTTCATAGTCTTCATTTGACTAAAAAATTAATGCTAAAAAAAAATATGTCGACACGAATGTAAAGATTGATAAAAATTTCTTGTATTTTTAACCTATCGCTTATTTGTAAATAGAATTTCTTACGAAACTTCTTATTTTATTGTCACAAAGCAAGTAAAAATGACTTGCAACGTATGGTAGGAAGAAAAGAAAAAAAAATATTTTCAAGAAAAAAAAATTATTGTTCGAATTATTTTTTTAAAGTTTTAGCAGTATTAGACTTAGTTATATATGATATTATTGTTGATAGTGTTCGACATGAAGGTGATTAATGGAATTGTATTTCACGACAAACTATCAATGTATTTCTTGTTGATTTACAATTACATGCTACTATTGCGTCATCTAAGGTTATTTTGCTTTCTTTGATAATCTTAGACTTCACTTTACTTTTTGTTTCAGATAGGATCAATTACTGTTGAATATTTTGTTATGATTAATTGATCCATTTATTATTACTTTTCGAGCATTAGCAAATAGAAAAGTTCGTCTTTTTTTTTCTTTTTTCTTCATGAAATTTTTCTAATGTTTAAATTGTTTTTAGAATACCAATCGTCAACCTTCAAATCGATGGTTAGTGAATGTATAATTAGAATTCTTTGATACCTTGTATAAAATCGAAATGACATTAGTTTATATATTTATTTACAGATATTATAGATAATGGTAATAAATTAAAATAATAGTTTATTTGTAGATATAAATAGAATAGTCAAGTAATAGAAACCTCATGTAGAGTTATAAATAATCATGCAAAAGTTTTCGATCAATGTGAAACTTTAGGAGAAAAACTAAATAGATAAAAACTGATTACCAATGATAGAAAATCAGCTGCTTTCTGTTTAGTTTGGTCCATAATTGGATTTATCTTCTATGATAGTATGATTTATTTGACTTGAAAATTTCTATAGTTTTATAAGATCTCTAATTTTATGTTAGCTAAACAATTCTAAATGCTTTTCGTGAATTTTAAATTCATGATGAAACTATACATCGTCTTGATACATTTTTATATTTAGTTATCTTAAGTGAATATTTTAAATTATTATTACAATAGGTACATATTCTTAATATTCTTGATGATTATTATTATTTTTATTTGAAAAATTAATACAAGTACATATGTAACTCATTTTCTTGGCCTTATGGATCATATATTAGCTGGAAATCATTTACTTATTCAATCGATATATACTATTAGAAATAATTTATTAAAATGAAATACGTTATCATTAACATCGTTAAAATTCTTCGTACACTTCTATATATTTGTATTACCGGTAGTCGAATCAATTGTTTGTCTTCATATTGCAAAGATGTTACGACTTGGCGAACAATCATTAAATTAACAATTAGTACCTAAATATTTACTACTAATTTCATAAATATTATTAAAATCCAACAAAAGAAAAAGTTTACCTTTCTTTGACATTGTTGTGATAAGAAATAAAAACGGCAGAATTCTACATAGTACGAATCGTAAAGAAAAGTATTTAAGCTACATTAATACAATAACGAAACTTATCGATAAAATTCTGAATCGTGCTATTTGTACTGTTACAGCTAAAAAAAAATACAATATCTTTTTAATTTTATGAAAAAGAAAATAATCATAAATAGTTTTAAAGACATCTCGTAAGATATTTTCTATTGTGTCATCTATTTGAAACTCAAAATAACGGTTTCAACTTTATGAAACATTCTTCAAAGCAAATATTATCAATTTATGACTAAAGATACAACAGGAATATTGATCTCATATTCAGTTTGACATTTTCGATCGGAAGAGATCTTGAAACTAAGTTATTTTCTTGCAATAGTCTCTATGACCAAAAAAGGTCAAAATAAATTCATTAGATAATATGTCCCATTTATATATCAATTTTCAACAGTTATGTCGAAAATTATTTATATAAATGTATTTCGAAAAAGAATGAGTTCTTAGTTGAAATTGAAATGAAAGGGTTATTTCAAGGTTTGACAAAACAACACATAATCTAAACATCAATTATATATAAATTACTTACGAGGGAAGATCCTCAACTGATCAATCGCTTTTACATTGAGACAATGTGCAATATGTAGGTACAAAGAAACTATGGACACCTTGAAAAAAGTTCGGACTGATAGCTTGTTCGTACGAAGATATTGCATTTTTACGGTATGTTTTTAAACGAATGCCGTGTTCCCTCTCAGGAGCATCAGAAAAAGTGATTTTCGAATTTCGACTTGGAACTTTATGTAGAAACAGAACTTATCGAGAATAGTATTCTATAAATATTTCAGATCTTTCGATTAGTTCCTCTCTTGAAAGGCGAGCATCAAATCTTCTGGTTTATCCGAATGAAGTTATCATATCTGTAAGTATGGATAGCAAAAGCAAACAAGTCTGAAGGGTGGGTGTGTGTGGGTATTCTATTTTCTAGCTACACCCACACCCTATTTTTTATGTATTTATGTAATATTAACCAATTTGATTTCGATGAGTTGATTAGTTTTTATAGAAATATTTCTGATAAATAATTAAAATAAATTTAAATTGATAATCAACCTTTAAGATTTATTTAGTTAAAATAGAATAAAAATTTAATGTTGAAATGTTTCCATCGAAATTAATTGAATTTTTATGTCGAGATTTAGTTAAACTATATTCAACTATTTAATATTTGCTTTTATCAATTACAATTATCCGGAAAAAATCTTATAAATTTTTACAACTGATGAAGTTGTAAACTAGAAACGAAACGTCACAGCATTTTAAACAAAAATAAATAAAAAACCAACATTTAGTCAAATGAAAATTATTTAAATAATCAGAAAGATAACCTACTAATGTCAACAAACGTATTGTGAATGTACCGTTCTAGAATGGTTTTTTCTCCAGATTCAGATGAAGAAATTTTTTCTTAAAGTTCTTAAGTGTTTTTCCAAAAACTTGGTTTCTCGGCAACAAATTGAAACAAATTCTATCCGGCTCGGAACAGAGCTAACTTTCATATTTAATTGCTTTGTTATGCTTATATTGAACAGCATGTCCATTAAAATGTTTGTAATAATTGAATAGAAGGAAATTTCCAAAAATTCCGTCCGATGAAAAATTGCACACAAAAGCTAGTTTTAGTTTAAATGCAGTCCAAACTCTGTACTCTTTATAACGATGGAGTTCTTTCAATTTTCTTCGACAGTAGAAAAACAAGCCAGAAATTCGATCTAATTAGACATATCATGCTGAGATTTTTACCACAAGTCTTTTTCATGAGGACCGATTGTTCCTGAACATTTTGTTGAGAAATTAATGCTGAGAGGATCTTAATATATTATTATAAAACAAATATAATATATAATCAGAATTCATTGTTATTATTAGTAAAACTTGACAATTATCATTTGAAATATTATTTAAATGTAATAAAATTCATCAATTTTTTCTTTCTAATTTCTTATAACTAAAACGTTTTGTTTATTGTTTATTAAGTAGGAAAAAAGTGAGAACTATTTATTTGGCTAATAATCTAATCTGACGTACTAACGGACCGATATGGAAACAAATTGAAAAACCTTTATAGAAACTAATAACAATTTAGAATATATTCCTTACTTAACATATAAATTTATCTTATGTTGAATTTAGTGCATCAAATTAATCAAATAATAACTAGTCGTTGGTTTTTGTTTTGATATTTTTTCGACATTTTCATTTCATAAGTATTTAGTTTCATAATTCTATAATTCAATATATTAGCTATCGCATTTTAATAAAATCGTTTAAATTTCATGAATAATTAAATTAATTGAGAATTCCATTTAGATTTCTCATTATTTATTTATTTTAAATTGAAAACATCATTTTGAGATCTTTAAGCTATAGCTTTTAATATAGCATCAGATACAAAGGAAATGGGATAAATGTTGACTCTTATGACTCAGCAATAGG